TTTTGCTATAGGATGCGTGCTCTGGCCAGAAAGAGAGACAGAAAGTGAGAAATCACCCCCCAGGGGGGGATGGCCATGCCACAATCCCTTCTCCTCCATCCATTCTCCTCTGGGGATCTTGGGCATGCACACACATGTGCCCAGTGTGAGTTTAAGCCACCAGGTCCAGGACTCGAATCACAGTCGACTACATGGGAGTCCAGCAACATAGCCATTACACTAACTGCTGGTCCTGATAAGATTGATTTTTCTAAAGTTCACTTTTTTATTCTCTTATGGTTCAGTTGCAGAACTAATGACTAAAAGTGATAAAAACTAAATCTTATAGGGTGGCAGGTGGCATGGTGGTTAGGGCGCTGGATGACAGTTTGTATCCCGGACCTGGCAGCTTGCTTTCTCCTCCTCCCCTTCCCCACTCTGTCCCTCTCTGGTCAAATTAAAATAAATAAATAAAATTAAAATAAAGCAAAATAAAATAATTCTTTAAAAAAATCTTTTAAAGGAAATGATCCATATGTTAATGTTTGAAAGGTTTTTGTTTGTTTATTTATTTGTTTGGTTGTTTTTTTTCCTCTGGAAGTCATATCGGGTTACTGTAGTCTGCCATGTATTCTAATTTTGGTTTTGGTGCCAACAAACACTGAGTTAACCTTTTTTTGATCCCTAAGGTGCTTGGAAAACATTTCACTTTCATGTTCTACTGATAGTTAAGTCAAGTATTTAAGTTTTTTGCTATCTTTTACTAGATTTTCCCAAAATCAAATTCTAAATCAAGTTCTTTTGATCTCAAAATAACTTTTGGATGTTTATAGAAGGCCCCTGAAACATCCAAAAGAGAGCTATTACAGCAGATCAGGTTTATCTTAAAATATTAAATAATATGGGGAACACTGTCATAGTGAGTAAGTTTAATTTTCTTTACATTATATTTTAGTTATATGAATAAATAAACTATGCATGTATTTATGAGTGTGTGTGTGTGTGTGTATATATATATATGTGTGTGTATATATATATATATATTATGCTCCAAATAATTTGAAATTCCTAGGAATCTATGATGTGACATTTACCAGGCATGTTGTAGATTATGTTAAACTGGTGTATGTCACAGATACAGCCAAATTTCTTTGTCAGTTGTAAAATCTTGTCAGATCTTTAACTATGGGTGATTCAAGTCTTATCCTCTATGCATAATAGCCTTGTCTAATGCCTTTATAAAAGCTTTTTGCAAGTGGCCATAATCTCAATGTGTTATGTCTTTAAGAAAATTCACAGAGAGAATGAAAATAAGATGTACTCTTATAAGTACAGGTGTCTGATAATCTAATCATTTAACCAGGTAAAAATTTTTCTATGATGTTCTGTTTCACATTGGCAAAATTTGTTAGGCAGTTTTTGTTTGTTTATAAACCATATATTCATAAGCTGCTGGTATGTTCTTCCTTTAAACTAAAAGCTAAGTTTGCTAAGAGTTAAAAAAAATCCTGGTCAATATGTAAAGTCCAACATACAAAGTTATGAGCTTAATGGCCTTTCCAGAGGTGTGTCAAGTTCCCCAGGCTGAAAAAAAAAATGGGTATAAAGGAATTTTTTATGGTAGTTTTTGGTCTTAAGGTAAAATGGCTAGACTATCTCAAAATAAAAGAAAAGGTGGTACACAAACTAAATGGTCTAATGCATGTTGCTGAAGGTTTGAGTTATGTTAAAAGAGTCTAAAAAACAGTTAAAAAATTAATAAAATTAATTTTATTAATAAATGTACTTGCACTAATTGTTCTAATGTAATGCCATCAGTCACAAATCAGATGATTATTTTTAAATGCTATATACAGTTGTTAAAAAAAACACTAAATTTATCTGTTAGCATTGTTTTCAGTTTTGTCGTTCACAGTTTTGAAATTGCTTCCCATGGAAAAAATAAGTAACTACTCCCTCACTAACCTGAGGTTCTGTAAAAGATATGTGTAACCAGGCACAAAAATTTGTTCAAATGACAGAAAATGAAAACGCACCCAAACATCTTTCTCTTGCTGTGCTTGCTCTTGTTGGTTTCAGTAAGTATTCCCAGTCTCGAGAATAGCACTGGGCACTCTTCATTCACTTTTACTTCACCCCCTTACTTGGGGAAATCTCCTCCCCTTTAATGACTTGGTTATTTGCCAGGACCCATGGCATTTGGAGCCTTTGGGAAATACCATAAAGAAACTAGTTATTCTTTGGAGTCCTGCCTATCTGTTTTACATTGAAAAATTATTATTCCCCTCGTAATTTGCCTCTCTCTATACAGGTATGGATACACTCTGAACTCCTGCCAGAACACATTATTGCTTATCGTAAATTTATTAAATTAGGACGTTTTCAACATAGCAATCTTACCAAAAGTTCCTTTTTGCCTTTCACAGTCCCCACCTGCAGCTTACCTTTGGAATATTCCGTAGATCCTCAGAGCTCCCACTAGACAATTTACAAATAAAAACAGGCTCAAACTATTCAATTACAAAATTATAACACTTAAAATTTGGGACCTCATAATGAGGCCAAAAAAGGTAATCATACCCTACTTCGAGATTGACAACATTAGTGTATTGGAAATCGCTCTCTGAGAACTGGAGCCATTACTTTTGCAAACCATAACATTTGTTGACACAGACATGGCCTCTCTGGGTCATTGCTTCAGCTCTCTCTCACCTGTCCTTTACAGGCTACCATTTAAAAGGTTGCTATAGCTAGCCAACCTGTGCGTATCTACTCTGCTTCTTATTTACATTGGTCTGAAAATCATACCTCCCTAACACTCCAAAACACCTTCAAATAGTTTAATCCTTTCACCTGGTTCCAAGACATTCATTACAAATGTAGACAATTACTGCTATAGATATTATAATTTTTCTCTGTTCAGTCCTGGCACCCCATTGCCCCTGCCTCCTCTCTAAAAACAGAAGGTTGCCTTTACTGGTTACTTTCCCCTCTCTAAAAACTACCCAATCCTTATTCAAAAAAATATAAAAGGGGGGAATTGGGAAAACAACAAAATTCAATTGCTTATATAACTACATGGAAAAATAATTTCTGATATATCCCTTTTAGAACTCCAGTTTAATGAGAAAGAAAGTGTCCAAGATTGAGGTCCTATAAAAAACAGGCATAAATGCTAGTGAACAAATGTTACTTTTGCTTACTGCTTACGAACAACGGTGGGCCTCTTGAGTAAATGTAATCTTTTTCCCTGGACTCACAAAAGACCAAGGACAGTGTGATTATTGCCATCTTCTTATTCCCCAAACAGACTGGTTGTCACTACCCTTCTGATCCTATTATACAACTTGACTATACTACTGTGTTTGTTTGTTTTTCCAAAGTAGTCTCACTCAAGCCCATTCCAAATGCTTTAGTGGTACTCACTGATGGGTCAAGCAATGGGTACCCAATTAGATACTTACAAATGAATTGCTGTCCATTTGTGAGAGCTAGACACAACCATAGATGGCTTGGGAGAACAGGTGTTCAAAATACAGCTACAAAGTCATTTGCGATGTCGTGCATTATATTGTATATATTATAATATACATATGTATAATATATACATATATAATATATGTATAATATATATAATATACCATTATATCATGTATATCATGATATATATGTATGCTGTATATGTTTATATACATGTATAATATATATGTATATACAATATGTCATCATACAACATATGTCATGATATAATGTATATGTATATTATATTATAAACACATATGTGTATATTATATTACATACACATATTATAGTATATACACATATATTATATACATATATTATATATACATATATGCATTATATCATGCCACACATTGGAACTAGATTTCTATACAAAACTATGGATTATATTATACATATTGTATTATATAATGACACATATTAGAACTGGATTTCTGTACAAAGCCATCTCCACGGTTTTCTAACAATATTTCATTAGATATGAAAAATCTTCATAAACAGATTATAGATTTGCAAAATAGTTTTCTGCCCTCCTTTGATCTTTCTGATTTAGCCTCTGACACCTTAGGTCAACTGAAAGGCACTATCCTTTCAACTTGCTTCAGCACTCCTTGTAGAATTTCTTGGGGATTGTGTCAATAATCTTGCTCATTTTCACATTCCTTCTAGTCTGTAGAATCATCCGAGAACTCTGCACATCAGCCATCCAGCTCCACAGAAGAGAAAAAGAAGAAGGGGGAGATATAGGGATGGCTGGATCTGAGCCACACAATAGTGACCTTTAAACGCGTGCAGAAACACATTTCTTGTGCTGATGCTGCAAGGTAGCGGTAACGAAAGAATACGTGTCTGCCTCTGTGTAGACACTGCAAGGTGAAGTTAGTTTAAGGAAACCGCGTGCTAGCCAGAGAAGGTCCAAGAAGATAAGAGAAACCTCATAAAGGACTGCAAGGCAACAGAGGTTTCACATCTTTAGCTGATTAACCTCTGAAAACAACTGTCTTTGCTTTCCACTTCCCCTTCCCCTCTTTTTGCCCTATAAAAGGTGTTAGCTGAGAACAGCCTGGGGTCATGGCTGCCTCTGTCAGAGGAATCTGACAGTCTGGACCACGAAATCCCCACTTTTCTCTACTTGTGTGTCTGTGTGTTTATTTCTAATCCACAGCTGCTCCCACTCAGTAAACACATTCCACTGTGTGGGTTGTGGCATAATTCCCCTCAGCTGTCTGGGCTCCCTCTAGAGAACATCACTGCCTGGGAGAATGTTAAATCTTTTCTCTGTCACTGTTTCCTCATTTACAAAATGCAGATTGGACATGCACTTCTATAATGTCCATGAGTGGTTTTAAGATTCTCAACATTTGCTCACTTTGTGCCACACAGTGTACATTAGGCAGTATCTGTGTAATCTGCAGTGAAAAGCACAGAGATCTGCTAATGGAGAGAAGGGAAACTGAGATGGAATTCACAGTCGAGAGCCAGGACACACTTTCTTTCTTACAGGTTTTACTTCTTTATTTGGCAGATCCATTTATTTTCTGCACCGCAGTCCTCGGAAGTAAGTTCTGTCTTTGAGATATAGGCACAGCTGTTTTCATCAGCATCACCAAAAACTTGTATTCTGGAAAACAAAAGAAAAGACTCTCAGTGTTTAGGGCTCTCATAATTATCCTCATTCAGTCGTTCTTTCCACGGCTTTTAGGACAAGCAGTGGAATGCTGAATAACGGAGCACAGTAAGTACACAACCACAAATATAATGGCATACACTTTTAAGATACAGCTAATATAAATTGCTAAAACATTCAAGTTTATATTCAATGGAAAAGAATCCTAACAAGAAACTTCATAGCATTATTAAAAAAGGGAAGTTTTAGCAGGGACCAGCAGGTGGTGTGGTGGTTAAGGCACTGGATACTCCCTTATGGTCGGCCATGGTTCAAGTCCTCAACATGGAGGCTTTCTTTCTCACTTTCTCTCTCTCTGGGCAAATTAAAATAAATGAATAAGTTAAAAAATTAAATAAATAATTCTTTTTTAAAAAAAGGGAATCTTTGGAAACTAGATATTACATTTCCTAATATGATTTTTTTCTAGTGTCTCACATTCTAGTCAAACCATGAATTTCTCTCAATTGGGTTTTGAAAAAGCCTCCTGTACTGAAAGCATTTGATAAAATACAGCATCCTTTTATGATTAAGACCCTCGGTAAGATTGGTATAGAAGGGTCATTTCTGAACACAATAAAAGCAATCTATGAAAAACCTACAGCTAACATTATACTGAATGGGGAAAAGTTGAAAGCTTTTCCCCTGAAAACAGGTACTAGGCAAGGCTGCCCACTTTCTCCACTGCTCTTTAATATAGTACTGGAAGTCTTAGCTATTGCAATCAGAGAAGAGAACAATATTAAAGGCATTCGAATAGGCAAAGAAGAGCTGAAAATATCTTTATTTGCAGATGACATGATGGTATACTTAGAAGACCCAAAGGTATCCATGAAAAAACTGCTTGAAGTAATAAGTGAATACAGTAAGGTGGCAGGATACAAAATCAATATCCAAAAATCTATAGCATTTCTATTTATGAACAACAAGTTGAATGAAGCAGAGCTGAAGAAAGGAATCCCTTTCACCATAGCCACAAGAGATATCTAGGGATAAACCTAACTAAGAAAGTCAAAGACCTTTATAAAGAAAACTACAAAAATCTTAAAAAAGACATTGAAAGTGACATAAAAAAGTGGAAGGACATCCCATGCTCCTGGATTGGAAGAATTAACATAATCAAAATGGCAATTCTACCCAAATTAATCTACATGTTTAATGCAATTCCAATCAAAATACCAGAGATATTCTTCAGAGATCTAGAAAAGACAATTATAGAATTTGTCTGGAACCATAAAAGACCTCGTATTGCAAAAGCAATCCTGCGTAAGAAGAATGGAGTAGGAGGCATATCACTCCCTGATCCTAAGATATATTATAAAGCTGTGGTCATCAAAACAGCATGGTATTGGCATAAAAACAGACATGTGGACCAATGGAAGAGAATAGAGACCCCAGAAATAACTCCCAAAGCTTATAGCCAACTGATCTTTGACAAAGGATATCAGTCAATCCATTGGGAAAAGGAAAACCTCTTTAGTAAATGGTGCTGGAAAAACTGGGTATCCACCTGCAGAAAGATGAAACTGAACCCCCATCTTTCACCATTAACAACAGTCAACTCAAAATGGATCAAAGATCTGAACCTAAGACCTCAGACAATAAAACTACTTGTGGAAAATGCTGGGGAAACTCTGGGAGACATTGGAGTAGGCAAAGACTTCTTAAATAAGACTCCCAAAGCACAGGCAATAATCCCTAAAATAGACAAGTGGGACTATATTAGACTAAGAAGTTTCTGCACAGCAAAGGACACAGTAACAAGTGTGAACCGACAACCCTCAGAATGGGAAAATATTTTTGTTAAATATGCCTCAGACAAGGGACTGATAACGAGAATACATAGGGAACTCAAGTGCCTTATGCGAAAAAAAATGATTAACCCGATTAAAAGATGGGAAAGTGAGCTGAACAAAAGTCTCTCTAAGGAAGACATACGAACAGCCAAAAAGCATATGAGGAAATGCTCGACATCCCTCATCATAAGGGAAATGCAGATAAAAACCACAATGAGATACCACCTAACCCCTGTCAGAATGGCAAAGATTAAGAATATAAAAAGTGATAAGTGTTGGCGGGGATGTGGTGAAAAGGGAACCCTCCTACACTGTTGGTGGGAATGTAAACTAGTTCAACCACTGTGGAGAACAATATGGAGGTTCCTCAAAGATCTACAAATAGAACTACCATTTGATCCAGCAATCCCACTTCTGGGTATTTACCCAAAAGACAGGAGAACGCTCAGTCAGAAAAGTGCTTGCACATCCATGTTTATTGCAGCATTATTCACAATTGCCAAGACATGGAACCAACCTAAATGTCCACAAACTGATGAATGGATTGGAAAAGTGTGGTATATATACTCTATGGAATACTACTCAGCCATAAAAAATAACAAGACCCTGGAATTTGATAGAAAATGGTCAGATATGGAGGATCTATTGCTGAGTGAAGTAAGCCAGGCTATGAAAGAAAGATATTGTATGTATCCACTCAATATATACCGACTATCCGCACTCTATAATAGAGAGCAAAAATTCGGAGGACATAAACACAGTGAAGGTACTTAATGAGAATAGGACAGTGTGGAATGGGGTAAGTGAAGAGAAGAGGATAGAGAAAGATAGCAAGTGAACAATAGAGAGACAGGACGTTAGTGAGAAACAGATAGGGGTTATTAACTGTTGATGATGACATGTATAGTATTCTCAACTGGATTGGTCTGAGAAGTATTTCATGATGGGCAAAGTATTTTTCCAAGCGAAATGAGAAATAGCAATTGACTGTTTTAAAAATAATTAGAATAATAAAAATAATGATTGGGGAAAACATAGAAAAGATATTGAATGTTGAAGTGGGGAGATTAATGTCTCTGTACTGACGGACATGCATGGCATTCCCTTTTGAAAAAACAATGTAATACAATGTAAAGTTATATGTAATCCAATGTAATATAAAGAAGATTATGACGATGATGATAATAAAAAAATAAAAGAAAATAAAAAACCTCCTGTACTTTATCTCTCCCATTCTTTCAATTCTTATTTCAACTTTTTAAAAAAATAATTATTTTATTTAACTTTATTTATTTTAATTTGACCAGAGATGGACAGAGCAAGAGCGAAAGAGAGAGGAAAACTGAGAAAGCAAGCTGCCAGGTCCAGAACTCGAACCGTGGTTGGCCATGTGGGAGTCCACCGCCCTTAACCACCATGCCACCTGCTGGCCTCAACTTTTAAAAAGAATTATTTCATTTAACTTTATTTATTTATTTATTTTGATTTGACCAGAGAGGAACAGAGTGAGAGAGAGAGAGAGAGAGAGAGAGAGAGAGAAAGTGAGTAAGCAAGCCATCAAGTCCGGGACTCGAACTGCAGTCAGCCATATGGAATCCAGTGCCCTCAACCACCGTGCTGCCCACCAGTCACTCTTATTTCAATTTTAAGAGTAAATTTTTTAATGTCAATTTGACCAAATCAGTGATTTCCTTTCTAAAAGGTTCTGAGTGACTTCCCAGACCTTCCTTGACCAAATATCAAGCTAGTTCCTTAACATTATCTCATTTATTACAAAAAAAATTCTGTAGAAAAGAATATATTATCTTTTTATATTAAATCTGAAAACCAGGGCTCAGAGTGTTAAAATAAAAGCAAGTTCTAACTGATACTCTTTCTTTTGTCGTATAATACCCTCCAACTTTACCCGATTACTGCTGTCTTAAATCAAAGCATCACTTTTATCTTCAGAATAAAATGGGAGGTTTGAATTTAATCCATTCATTTTGCATATATTTCTGCTCACAGACATTTCAGTATTTTCCAATTGTATTTTTACTATGAATCACAATAAAATCAACACCTTACATAATCACCCAATTAAGAAACACACACACTTTCTTTTGCAGTAGCTGCTGCATTCTCCTTGGACCAAGCTGAAGCTATTGGGAGTTTCTCCTCTAGAAACACAAATTTGCTAGAGCTTCTGCAACTACTCCTCAGGGTCACTGCTGTGCCTTGCCTCTCAGGGCCTAGCTGAAGCTATGCAAGAGGCACAGAAACATGTGATGGTAGAACCACACTATCCATGCCACCCTGTTGCTGCTGATCCCTTCCTTCTTTAGACCCAAGCTGGAACTGTACTTCCCTTTCTGAGGAAATGGTGCTTTGGCAGAGCTGCCCCATCTACCCTTCCCAGCGACTGTTACTCCCTGTCTCCCCAGAGCCTGAGCTGAATCTGTGTACTGTCTCCTGGGGACGGGGGGAATGCCAGTTTGACGGAGTTGCTCTACCTACCCTTCACCGCTGTGGCTGTGAAGCAGGGCCTGAGCTGGAAAAGCACACATTCTCCTAGGTAACCTTGGTGCCTTGCCCATGTATAACAGTCAGGACACCCAGGCCTGAGCGGAAGTGGCCTATTGCCTTCCAGAAAACTGGAATGTTGGTTGATCCAAGCAGTCTTATATTCCAGCTGAGCTAACATGGCACACTGCCTCCTAGAGGAACAGATCTTCTGTGAAGGAGAGATATCCTACCTTATAGGCTAAACATCTCTAGTGTCCTCCCTCCCTGGAATTGAACCAACCCAGCCTCTTAGGACTGAGCTGCTGAGACACTACTGGGGGAGTAAAGTCATTGTTGTGCTGCTTTCCGGCCCTGAGCTCAAGAGAGAGCTGTGCTCAGCCATTTTGGTATCCTTGCTGCCTTAGTTCCTGGCTCCAGAGAGTCTGAAATATTTCTGTGTCCCCCAACTCAGGGCCCATAATCAACACATGCGATTCTTTATTCCTTGGAGTTTAAAGAAGCTGCTCAGGGATATACCACTGCATCTATTAGAAGTAAGAGCCAAATGGGGAAACTAAGATCCATCTATGGGTGAGAGTGCTTCTCCATGATGACCACTCTATAAAGCTTGGAAGAGGTGATTATTCTGCCAGATGTACAATTAAAGGACGTAAG